ACCGCTTCGCCTTCCGCCTGCCAGCGCCACCCATTGGCGGCGCCCTGCTTTTCGCCTTGCGCTACCGCGTGACGGGCCACGAGTTCTGGGACAACAACGGCGGCCGTGACTATGCTCTACGTGGGCCCGAGCACCCTGGCAGTGGCGGAGCTCCGGAACCCCAGGGCTGGATCCACTTTATCTGAGACACCTGCGGCTGACAGCGGAAAAAACCAAAGGCACCCGGGGGCTGGGGGAGCCCGAAGATTTGGCGGGGAGAAATGGGAGAAACCGAGATTGGCGGGGAGCTGCCCCAGAGAGTCAAGTGGGGGAGGGCGAGGAGGATGGGAGAAACCAAAGGGGTATGGGGAGTGGATGGAATCAATGAAAATGGGGGAAATTGGAGTGGATGTGAGTGGAAGGAACTCAAGGTATGAGAGACAGAAGGGGTGCTGGAAGAGTAGTAAAAAATCAAAAGAATTGGGACGATGGTGACATGTTCTTCCGTGAACGGGCACTGGGAGAAAGTGAGTGGGTTCGCCAGGCCTAGGGGCAGTCAAAGGTTTGGGACTGAGGAGGTATTTTGTGTGAGCAAGGAGCCCACCGCAATTGAAGTCATTTAGATTGCTGGCTCATCCTCTCTTACCAGCCTTTGCCACTGCAGGTCCCCCAGCCCTGCCTTTCCTAGCTTTCCAGCCATAATTGCCTTGCTTAAGTCTCAGAACTTGGCCGTTGCTCCTCAGTCCCTGGCATTATGACAGGAATCCCTTGTCACCCTTGCCAGCCCCTGACTTAAGTCTCCACTGGCTGGGGAGTGACGACAGGTAACAGTCAGAGCTCCTTCCTCCAGCCTCCAGGCAGCTCCGGGCATTAAAGTGAAAGCAAAACCAACTCCAGGCCTGTCCTTGTAGCCAAATAATGTGGCGCCCAAGGGGTTGGTACCCTCAGGGGCTTCCAGAAAAATGCCAGCCTTACCTTTCTGGGTGCCTTCTAATGACCTCTGAACACTTTATGGACTGTATTTGTCAAGAGACAGGTGAACCACAGGATTTTTTTCTGCCACAGAAGAAAAGGAAGTCACCGACTAGCTGTATAATTTTGGGCAAGTCACTTCACCTCTCTGGGCCCCAATTTCCTCCTTGGGAAACTGGATTTGGGTTAGGTGATCTCTTAGGCCCCTTCCTGCTTTGACGTTTTACCATCTGTGAGGGGCAGTGTGGACAAGAAGCCACATTCTCCAGCCTACAGTTGGAGTGCTGCAGTCTAGAACACACAGCGACCCAAGCGTCTGGTTGGGACTGAGGATGGGTCCTCCAGGTTTCGACACCCATTCCAGAGCCCAGGAAGCATCCCATAACCAGCCAGCAGCCTCAGGGTATTCCAGGCCCTCTTTCAAACCACAGCACTTTCTCTGCCCCTTGCTTTTTCCTCTTGCCGCCCCCCACCCCCCAACTTCCAGCCTGGATGCTATGAAACAGCTTTGGGGAGCTGCCTCTCTGTTGGAGGAAGTGATGCTTGGGAGCCCAGAGATGAAAGGAAACGATATTGGGGGCTTTCTTGAGGATAAAGGATCATGGGTATAAGAAATGGAAAACATTTCAAATCAAGAATCAGAGCAACTTGAAAACTGAATGGTACCAGAAGATGGCAGTCAGTTCCGTACTCTGAGCAAGTGAAATGGGAAAGCTGGACTTTTCTACCCATTCACTCATGCCTTGTGTTTCTCCTCTGCTGGTTGCTTTTCCTTTTCTCTCACCCTCTGCCTAAACTTTGCTTTCCTCTTTCCTTGTCCCCCTCTCATCACTTTCATTTTTCTTTTAGCATAGAGGCCATTTACCTTCACTTTCTCTATTTCCATCCACCTCCCCCTTCAGCCTTGTTGATCTCTGCTATTCCTTCTCCCTCCAGAAGGGGTAGAGACCCTACTTCCTTTTCTCCACGACCATGGTTGATCCACCTTCCTCCCTCAGGCTCCTTTTTGACAGTCTTCTAGAAGGGAGAAGAGGGAAAAGAAGCAGTTTCGGATGCTGCAGATTAACGAGGAGCTCCCAGGTAAGCAGCTCCCCACAGCTTTTTCTCTGTTACTGACTTCTCAAAAATTTCTGGATTCCCCTTTTACCACTAAGCGAGAGATAGTGCATGCACATGTGCCCACACATGCGTTCAGAGTAGCATGTGGAGTTTGTGACCATGCCCCTCCTCTCCGAAGCCTTAATTCTTTGAAGAAGGATGGGTAAAAGAGAGAAACCTGGAGTCACTCCTCAAACAAGTGCCCACTTAAACATCATTCTTATCTGGTGAAGAAAACAAACTCATGCGTCTTGTGGATCACCTTCAGGTCAAAGTTCTAGCAGAGTGAAGAGAGAAAATGTACTGGAAGCCACCAAGCAATGCACTTTTTAGTTACCATTGAGGAGCCCAACGGAGAATAATGGAGCGGGAGACTGGGTTAAGGCTCTGTGTAATAATCTCTTGCATGATGTGTATGCGTTAGTGTTATGCTGTATTAGCAGTCCTAAGAGCTCAGGTTTACATATCCACCAAAATCTGGTGTCTTGCATGCATTATAATCCTCAAAACCACCCTGAGTTGAGTAATATTATTCCTGTCTTAGAGAGAAAACAGTTCAGAAAAGCTCAATAATTTGTTCAAGATCACACAGCTAGTAAATGGCAGAGCTAGGACTGTGAACGCAGAAGCTGGAGCCTCTGTGCATAACCATGATGTTATATTTTCCTTTAGAAACAAAATCAAAACTTTGCCATTAAACAACAACAACCCTTGCCACATATCTCTAATTAGGAAAAGACTACAGTTACTTTTCTTTCTTTCTTTCTTTTTTTTTAATGGAGTACTGGAGATTGAACCCAGGACCTCATGCATGCTAAGCAGACACTCTACCACTGATTTATACCCTCCCCTACAGTTTCTAATTGTGCTCTGTCTTTCCATCTTCCCAGTCTCCCAAACTGGCTTGGAGAAGGCAAAGCACTGAGGGTCCCAGGCTTCATCTGCTCCTTCCAGGAGCTTGCTGCTGTCTCCTGTGCTAGTGTCCCAGCTCTGCACGATCAGTGAGGAACGGCTGCACCTGCCTGCTGGAGAACTGGGGAACCCATCTGAACTCCAGCCTTTCTGTACACCGGGATTCTCTCCTGGCGCTAGCCAGTCCTCCACACCTGCTGGTCTGCTATGCCTCTTCCCACTACCCCCACGAACATTGAACAGGCCAGTTCCCTAAAGTTTTCACTCAGAGAGTCCCCAACTAGGACAATTGCTGGATGGTCTGTGCTTGGGCCCTCTCTGGGAGCCCTAGTGTCACTAAGCAGGTAAATGCAAACAGGTTGGAGGCAGGCAACCAAGGAGAATTCATTGTTCCTGAGCTGCTTCTCTAAGAAGTACCACGGCTCACCCATGCCCCCATTCTCAGCTTTGTAGAGCCAATACCTGAGTCTCCTGGTTCTTCCCATACAGAGCTGCCCCAGGGCCTGGAGGTGAGCTGATAGCCTCATCTGACATGGGAAACACTAGAAGTTTGGCAGAATGTTTAGAGATGTGTCATGTGTCAGGCACTGTGGTAGGGACTTTCCTGTAAAGAGTATTAACTGCCTGAACAGGAGCAATTTAGGGTATAACGTGTCAGCAGTGGACTGGGAAGTACCATCAGAGAAACCATCACCATGGTCTGGGGCTTGGGTTCCAGAAACACTGCAGCGAGAACCGGCCCTCAAATGTCTTCCAATACATTCCTCGTGTTCCTTTGTTTTCCTTTATGAATGTAGCTCATCATTTCTCTTCATAATAAGCTCTAACTCATCTTTCCAGTCTAACTCCCACACTCCCTTGCTTCTAACTCCTGTGTTTCTCTGGAGCTCCTCTGGATCCTTGCAATTAGCAGGTCATAGAATCAAGAGACCTGAAAAGGCTTGTCTTTAGAGATCATCCTGTCCAGACTCCTCCATAGATGAGGATACAGGTCCAGAGATGAGAAATGACTCCAGCAAGGTCAGATAATTTGTTAGTGCATCTCGAGATGGGGCTTAAACCCAGGCCTCCTAATCACATCCCAGTCCAGGCAACCCAAGAGGCCTCTCTCCACGTAGTCAGACCCACGATTTTTCATGGCAAGGGGTTACGTCAGGCATGTTTCATTTTCTGCTACTAGTTTCCATTCCCTTCCCCGCCCAGGTGGAAAGAGAAACAGAAGGGACTGCTATGCCCCCAGCCTTGGCACTTCTTTCGATGAGATTGCCGAAGAACAGTGAAGTTGCTAAAAAGACTGAATAATCTACCCATTGAATAGCTAACCTAGCAAGGAGATGAAAGTTTGCTATGTGAATCCCCCAGAACCACTTCTCATCAGGCCCTCCCAGAGCCTCCCCACCCCCCACACAGTGCAGCCCTGTTCACTGGGCCCCAAACCCACTGGCATGGTGCCTCACTTCAGCTTCTTCACACAGCTGCCCTCCCTTCTGGATAAAAGACCTCATATTTTAAATAAAATTGAAATATAAAGAGAAAGCATATCATAAGATATTGAGAAGTATTGTTGGTTTGGGGCTGAGGGTGGAAGAGACCCAAAGGCAAGATTCCTTCCTCCCCCTCACCCCCTCCCATTTCTTGGTCATCTAATTAATTTTTTTTAATTTTTTTCTCTCTCTTCTTTTTTTTTTGGTCATCTAATTTCTTAAAAATCCTATTCCCTGTCTGTGAGAGTCCTCTGGGTATGCAAAAGTTGGATGGGAAGGAGATAAGGAGGAGTTGGGCAGCACTGAAATAAGACACCCCTAGAGTATTGCACCCCCATTTTGGGTAGTGGTAAGGAAAGTTACCAGAGCCCAGCGCTTACATCCCCAGCACTGAGCACCAGCTGCTGGTGCCGTTAAAGGGAACAGCTCAGGTAAAAGCCCCCTGTTCCCCCTTCCATGGGGTGCTCTTCTTAAGGGGGCCAGCTAAATTACATTCTGTTCCTTAGGCACTAGAGGGAAGAGCCAAGCCCTTTTCCCTGTCAATGGCAACCCTAAAACAAAGGATGAGAAATAACAATGGACAGGAAAAGCAAGGACCTCTGTCTAAATCCAGAATGGAGCAACAGAAATAGATACTAAAGGGAAGCATCCTTGAAAAAGATCCAGTTCTATCAGAGTATTGACTCCCACACCACCCGAAAGATGAGAGTCCAATTACCTACAAAGTAATGCAACAACGTTCCTTATAGGTAAGCCCTAGCCCAAGAATAATCAGATGCCTCGTCATTACATCATAATGGCCAAGTTGTGATGTCACTGCAGAGCACCCAGTCTTTAGTATGTATTCTAATTGAAACCAGACATGCTGAAGGGTAGAGTCAGCATGAGGAGCAGATATCCAAGGAGAGGTAAGTGAGGGTTCTCCAGGGGTTCCCTCCATGGCTGATTGCCTGGGGTTGCTCGGCCGCCCTAGTCTTTCTGGTCTTCTTACATCTTTGGTGGTGGGTGGTCTGAATATTCCGCATACTCCATCACAGCTTTGCTATCCCAAACCCTCAATACTTGCAGTTCTGATTGGTCAGCACTCACCTCTGATGTTTCTTATGATGAAGCACAGAACACTGGAGCAGGGTTTCCCTAAACGGGGTGGAAACTCACCATATCCATTTGGTTAGTCGTAGGGATAGATCTAAGGTTTTGGTTTCCTGAAGCATACAACTTTAGGAGCCCTTTTCAAGAGATGTAAATACACAAGGCACCAAAGGGAATATATTTTAGGATGAGAGAAGATAATGTACAGTTTTTAAAAAGCTGACAAATAACTACGGTATCACAAAATCAAAAAAAATAACAAGTTTTTAAAATTACCTACCTGGCAAACCTATATATTTTTTCCTACAATTTTGTTTTTTGGTTGCATGTGCTTTGATTTTGATAGTCTTTTCATATGATGAATATATATAATTTTTCCATAAAGAACATAGAAAGGTAAATCAGTCTTCTACATGATTACTTTTTAAAAAAATTATTGATAATTTAGAAAATGTTATCTTCACACCTTTTAAGTAATAATGTCACTTTTTTTTTTTTGGATTTTTGTCAAACTCGGAAAAACACTACCAAGTTTCTTTAGTATATATGGTGTAAGATCTTGGAGCCATTTTCAAATTTACAATAACGAATGTCATAAACTCTGAATCATTGACAGGAGTATTCCTGGAAACTGTATGTATTAGTTTGTTAAAGCTGCCGTAACAAAATACTATAGACTGGGTGGCTTACACAGTAGAAATTCTCTCACAGTTTTGAGGCTAAAAGCCTGAGATCCAGGTGTTGGTGTCGGCAGGGCTGACTGCATTCTGAGGTTCCTCTCTCTTGGCTTGTAGATAGCCATTTTCTTCCTGAGTCTTTCGTACGTGCATGTCTGCATCCAGATTTCCTCCTATAAGGACAGCAGTCATATTGGATTAGGACTCATCCTAAAGACTTCACTTTAATTACCTCTGTATAGAGCTTATCTTCAAACATGATTACATTCTGAGATACTGAGAGTTTAAGACTCTAACGTGAATTTTAGGGGTAGACGGTTCAGCCCATAACACTATACTTACTATTTAACTATTCACAGAAGTAACAGCAAACCACAGATGTATACCTTCTAAACCCAAACTAAATGTACCCCAATTCAGCTTCCTTAGTCAATCCCCAAATGCCCACTGCCACCTGACAAAAGGAAAAGTGTGATGGAGGGGAAGTCAGAAGGAAAGGGACATCAGTCTTAGCCAATTGCAGTTTAATTTTTTTTTCAAATTCTACAAACACCTAAGACAATTATTAACACATTGCTGGAATTCATCCAGTGCTTTGGAAGAGATCTGTGCAAGGGAAGGCCCTTAACTTCCCCTATCTTCCTTAGCTATAGGGTAAATGTGCCTCTGGTCAGCTCTGCTAATATTACTGAGTAAGGGAAAGGGAGAGGGAGATTTCACCAAAGATTGAGGATGATATGGTTAAGTCCCTGTTCTTTAGCACTAATGCCTGGAAGAGCTGGGAGGATTACTGTCTTGTTAAAGGTGAGAACTTTCCCTATCTGATGTCATCTGGGACCTCTTCTCTTCCACTCCCCCTCCCCAGTCCATTCCAACCTCTAAAGTGTAAGGGTGAAGCCCCCATAAAAGAGGGAAGCTTCAGCCTGCTCTCCAGAACTGGGCAGAGGAGTTTCTTCTCTTTCCCTGAATTCTTCCTCTCCTAAATCTGTCTTCAATTCTGTACCCTACTCCTGATTTGGGAGTGAGTATCCTTCTGAGACAAGAAAGGTGGCTGAGTTGTCTACCTTTCATAATTATAAGCCCATGATCAATGATGCCCAGAGTGACTGACTGAACCCTCCAGGGGCAGTCACTAAATTCTTATAGGCCTGCCTGGCTTTCCAGCCAAATTAGCATAAGTTCTTCCTGGTCAATCAAGTCTCATCGTTTGGATTGTAAACCTCCACTGAGTGCTCGCTGGGACATCACATTTACTTAAAAACAACAACAGTAACAACAAAAAACTCCGACAACTGAGGCCTGCCGCTGCCTAAAATGTTTCATTTTTCCCTTCCTTTGTTACACAGAAACAATTGGGTTATTGTAATAAGTCATGCTTTAGGAGAATGTCTGTATATGCCACCAGCCCTAGCTTAAACCCTGAGGGATCAAAAGTTTTTAACTCTAAAGCTGAGAATATTGTCTTTTTGGTGCTTACTCCTGTGATGTTTTTACAAGATACTAGTTTGAAGGTCATGGGGCTGGCTCTTAGGAGTTGAGATCGTTGCTACTAAATGAACTGAGGGAAAGAGGGGAGGAAAGGGCAAAAGCAGGGCCAGCAACAGAAAATAGGGCTCCAAACTGAAGTAGAGATACGTTTCTGATGCTTGGCAACCCTTAAAAAGCTCTAGACCTTAAGAGTGCAGTGATGAAGAATCAGAAGTAGCAGTTATGGTCGTTGACTTTTGGGGAGTACCTCGGGAGGGGTGAGGTCTGCGGAATACAGGGCAAAACCTGTATTTTGAAATTGTTTTTATAAGTTATTGTAGCTATATAAGCTACCGTGACCTAAGTAAACAAGAGAAGACCAGCATGAGAACAGAAGAGTCACTTCAGAAAGTATTGTTCCCAAGTTTTAGTCAGAAGACAGAATCCTAACTATACAAACTGTTGGCCTAGCATTTCAGTGTGTGAAGTGCTGTTTTGTATTGTAATTCGTTTCTTGACAGCAAAAACCAAGGTCCCCAAATATGAGGCACAGGTCCAGGTCCTCTTTAACTAGGGCAGAGAGGGCAGCCTGGGGGTCTGGTAAGTCCTAACAAGGTGACCCATCCAGCACTTCGTCTTTGGGAACACCTGTCTGGTGACAACTGGCCCCAGGAAGCGGCCTAAGGTGTCGGGCCGCTAGGATCCTCCTCTTTCCAGGTGGCAAAACTTGTAATTCATCCCGAGAACAAGTTCCTAGTCGCTCTAGGTGCTTCATTTACAGTGACGCTGCGGATGGCCGTTGGGCCCTCGTAAGGAAACGCACGTCTCCTGTGTGAGGAGAGCAAAGGGATACTGAAAAAGTCTTCCTTCCGGAGGAAACAAATGGGGAGTAGTTGTAGGTGGTCTGGATAGTTCAGCAAACTACTGTGAATTCCTTGGGGAATTCCAGGAGGAACATGACCCAGTGGACTCCGAAGATCCGGCGACCACTAGGCGAGGGTGAGGGGAGGTACTATTCACGGCACCCTGGCCCTGGGGGACATCTTCCCCGCCCCATGCATCCAATAGCCACCCTGGCTGAGGCCCACGCAGCCAATAGCTGACTTCAACCGAGTCCCACGCAGCCAATGGCCGGCCCAGTCCGTTCCACTGAGGCCCGCCTGCCCACGTCCACCAATCAGAGCTCGGGCCAACTTGGCACCGCCCCCGGAGCCCGCCCCACCCATCCGCCCCGCCTCCAACTCGCTGGAGGAGGGCTGGGCTAGACGCGCGCCCTCTCGGGGGCGGGGGGTGGGGGACAGTCCCGGTCCCGGCCCTCCTCGCGGGTGGGCTCGGAGCAGGCCGCACCGGGCAGCAACCCCACTCCCACCCCGGAGGCCCCCTGCCCTTTCTCCCCCTTTCCCCCTGGCCCATGGTGCGAGGCTGGGAGCCGCCGCCCGGGCCGGACCGCGGTGAGTGATCCCCAGCCCCTTCGACTTCGCCTCCCAGACCCTGTACGATCTCCGACCTCCGGAGCCCCATCCCCGCTCTAGGGGGAGGAGAATTCTAGGTTCGAAGTCGCCCGGTTCTCTCTCCTTTCTCCTCTGGACTTTTTGGTTCCCTGTTGTAACTGGGGGAGGGTGAGTGGGTGTGTAGGGAGGAGGGGAAGGCTGGGTTGGGACGCCCTTGGCGAGAGAATTGAGATTCGCCCACTCCCTGGGGTTCATCCCCCCAAGTATAGCAACTTTTTGTTCTCTGACCCAGTTTGGAGCCTTCTAGACTGCCTGTGACATGGAGGATAGGAGAAACGTTTCCTTCCCAGGCCTCCCCTCCTCCCCTCTG